CCCACTGTGTAATTTCCCCACTGTTGTGGAGGCTCGGTCCTGGAAGCGTATCTGTTAGTTTATTAAAGGTAATGTTTAGCAACTCTGTCCTGGCTTTTTATTTGAATTCTTCCTTTCTTACAGGATTATTTTAGAATGAAATTACATTTTTCCTTATCATCAGATGTAACAATACTGGGACTAATTACAGTTTTTACACTGCAAAACAAAAGCGAATGCCTGGTTTTTCTTTATTTTCATGCCTTCAAGCTGGTGGCATCAGCAGCTGGTACTTGCAGCTTTAGCCTCAGCTCTTTTAGCACAGAAATATTTATGTACGCAATCATATTTACTGCAAGACCGCCTTTTAAAGGATTCTCAATAAAACCAAGTAACGGGATATATTCTAAACTGTAAGCCCACAGACACTCTTTTTAAACCAAATCAGCTAGCCACAGTTCAGCCAGTTGCCGTTTAAGATTTGAGAAACCCTCTTCTGTCTGAGACGAAAGGACCTATTGTTCAAGACCTCCCCTCTCCTCTTGTTTTTTTCCTGTTTCTTGTACCCACCTTTCAAGTAATTTCCCCACGGGGATTATTAAAGTATTTCTGATTCTGATTCTGATTCTGATTTTAAAAGGATTCTCATAAAACAAGTAAACTGGATATATTCTAAAGTAAGCCACAGACACTTTTTTAAAACCAAATCAGCTAGCACAGTTCAGCCAGTTGCCGGTTAGATTTGAGAAACCTCTTCTGTCTGAGACGAAGGACCTATTGTTTCTAAATCTGCCTCCATTATCACTGCAAACTGCATATGTGTGGTGTGAGAACAGAAAACTTGACAGGCATAGCAACAGTAACTAAGGGGGATGGGGATTAGCCAACGGTAAATCGCATCCTTGTTAAATTTGATAAAAATAATGTAAATGATACATACCTGCTGTAGAAATCATCCCTGTAGTACTCGTAATCAAATTCATAACCACTATGAGAGAGACAAACAAAGAGTGGGGGGAAGGGGGCGGAGAGACAGGGAGAAAGAGATGAAGGAAGGGATGGGTTGCATTTAAAAAGAGCCATTCTGGATCCGTCAAAAGTAAGCAGATCAAACTCTAGCTGTTTTGACTCAAATGGACACGGTCTAGTTTATGCCTAAAGCTCACCGCAGGTTATGTAGCAAGCCTAAGCCACGCTGGCATCCAATGAACACAGATCAACAAAGAAAAAAAAGTTTCTGAGGGGAAATACAGTCAGAGAATGAAAGAAAAATCTTTTCTTAGACCCTGGAGAGGAAAATCAATGGTAAGTACACGCTCAGGATGGCAACTAATTTAGAATTCAGGGAGAGAAATAAAATAAAAGAGAAGAGGAGCAAAGAAGGAGCTGTTTTGAAAAGTTGTTATTCTCACAGGAATATTAATTAGAATTAATGTATTACTATTTCAATTTAGAGTGCTGTTGTGTTGGTTTTTTGCCTTTCCTGTTCCTGGTCCATAATTACCATATTACATCCTGGCTGTTTTCAGCTGCAGCTATAAAATGCAAATGAGGGTTCATAATAACACAATGCACAAACTAATAAATTAGTAAAATAAGACGTGCAATGCAAGAAACCAACAATTCAGAAAGGAGTAAATTGGTGGGAATGTTAGCTTTGCTAATGGAGGAATTATCGGAGTACCCAAAAAAATAAAAATAAACGCGTCCCAGTGAATAGAAAAAACATGTCTGGCCCTCTGTCACATTAGACTGCAGTAAACAAGCACTGCTCTGATCTGTTTGTGACCAGGAGATGTGTACAGGGCAGAAAATCAGGGTCATGCTTAATGAAGCTTATACAACAGCATCTCCTTTGAGCTTTACAGGCTCGTGCCGAGCAAACTCCAGTCGAGGCTGGGAAATGTGGAGAGCATTCAAAACTTAGTTAGAAATTCAAGGTTCAAAGGAAAAATTAAAAGAATGAATATGAAAGGAAACCCTTATATTCCAAATATTCCATATTTACATCAGCAGGAGCAGCAGGATGTGAAAGATTGTTAATGTTTATGCCGAAAGGGCTGCACCTCTGCATGTGAAGGAGGGAAAAATCTTACCTATAAACAGCTGAGAGTGGCCGTTTGGAGCCTGCTTTAGGCCTGTATGGCTTGGGCTCACCCGCCATGTTTATGTCTGCAAAAACACAAACAAACAAAATCGCTTGTCAGTCATTCATGTAAATTACATTCATAAATAGAGATTTACTGGTAACACTTCATGTAGCATTCACAAGCTGTAAATTAACAATTAATACACAAGATAAAACACACTATAGTTTAGTGGTAATACGATTAAAATCTTTACAGCTTTCTTCCATACAATATCATACTGCACAGTTGTAAACATATTAAGCCATCATCATATCTTATATGAACATGAAATGTATAATTACATACATTAAATCAATTATCATTTCTATTATTTATTTATGTATAAATGCTTTCCAGATACTCTCCATAACAACAGAGAAACCTCCATGTGCTGATGAAAGCCATAAGATGTGTCTGAAAGCCACAATATGAATCTTGTAAGTGACCCTTGAGTTAAGATTCTCATCACATACTTATATTATAATCTACACACAGCTACAGGTGATTCATATGAAAGATTCTAAGTGTTGGATTAATACACTCTTACAAAATGTATGGAGGTTAAAGAGTTATTATTATTCATGAACATTTTCTACCAAACATTACCCTACAGTATGGAGGATTATCATATGATTTCCTTCAATGTCTATCAACACAAATGTCTTCTACATTGCTGTCTGACCTAATATAAAAGCAGAAAACTTTGTCAATGAAACAGAGAGACGGCTCATGGTAGGGATAGTACAGCTCAAAGCAGGCCCTGAGCACAAAAGAGCATAAAAGTACAACTTCATAATAAAAGAGTAAAATATCAATTCAAGCTGTCCAGAAAGCTCTGCGCTATTTCCACTACAGAACGGAACTTTTCATGCAAGATTTAAATATGCAACACAAAAAGCTGCATTACTGTAGGACACATCCACTAATGTCGAGGTGCATTGCGAGAGCCAATTTTCCAAGGCAAGACTGGAGACCTTGCTACAGTGCACTGGTAAGATTACAAAATGAAAGTCTTGTTGCAAGGCAGTGGACAATCCTTGAAAACAAAAACAATGAAAAATAATAAAGCATATAAAGAAAAACTTCCGCTAAAGCTGGATGTTAGGGGAGCTTTGATTTATAGCCCGCTGTTTGTTCTTGTGTTACCATCAGGTGTACAGTTCTGTGACCAAGCCAGTCAGTGATGCAGATTTTTTTTTAAATCGCAATCTGTGCATTGCCAAGGGTGTTGCAAGGTCCTTGTATTTTGTGCACAGTCTGAGTGGCTTCCGGGAGATGAGCCAGTGGGTCAAAATTAGCACCCGGTTCAAAGTAAAACACTTTGAAAAATAAAAGCATGGAAAACGGTCCAGAAACTTTATTGATGCGGACATGAGGTTATATCCATGAAGCTAAGCAGAGGACAGTGCATGAGAATAACACCTTTAACTTTAGCTTTAATATTGAACGTAACCTCTTTATCTGAGGTCAGCTTTGAGCTGTACAGACATCACTCTCAGAAAAGACACAAAGGACTTTGGATCACTTGAGGCAGAAAGTAAAGAAAAAAAGCGTAAAGTACTTTAAGTACACAGTCTGACCAACGGCAGCAGAATCCCATTATCTGCTATTTTACATTGTCTTTCATATCACATCCATATTTCCTGAGCATCTGCATGCTTATAAGCAGCGAGGTACTCAGACAGGCATTTCATAACTGGCAGGATAAAAGTTTAAGACCGAGAACAATATACCAATGAACAAGGTGCCCTTGAGAGGCTAAACCCTCCTCTGTGTTGTGCACTCACTCTGGATAAGTGGTACATAGATCACTTAAAAGGCACTTTCTGAAAATTTTTGGGGTTTTTTTTCGTGCGGCCATGTTCTCACTATCATTTTGTCCCCTCCAGCGATACACATTTGCTTAAATAATTTATGCATCTGCCCTGCCACCCCCGCCGCCCCCCCCTCCCCTCCAAACAACAAACAAGTTGAAGCGCCCCAATCCCTGGGAGTGGAATTGCACTGGGGTGAAAATAAGCTTCTGGCAAACTCTTGCCTCCTTCTCCCAGTGGCTGCTCTCATGAGAAATAGGATTAAACCCTGGTCTGTTTGTATACTACCTACTTACACATGCTAAAACACAGACTTTTTACTCAGAGCTGCATGACCAAATGAGTGTGTATTTGTGTACGGGTGAGTGTGCACACTTGACTGACCATGAAGCTGATTTATGAGATAATTATGCTTTTGCTCATTAACCTGAAGGTTTACTTGCCCACAAACAATCCAACTAAATATAATAACTGGCATCTAAAACGTCAAGCACATCTAAAAAAAAATCCCTGACCCCAGATCTTATTTTTGTGATACCTGCCATTAAAGCTGAACCTGGCAAGGTTTTTAGATTTCCATCTGCCAGAGGAGAACCTTGTCAGGATAAGTCTGGTTCAAGAGTTGATTACACTGGAGCAATCAGTACCACATGTTCCGCATGGTGAAAGTTAGGTTTAGAGCTAAAATCATCCATCAACTATTCATTCAACAGAAAATGAATCTGCCATTTTGATCATCATAATCATTTAAGTCACTTGCCAAGGAAAAATGCCAAACATCTGCTGTTACATCAAAAGTATTTTTATTTATTTTTTTCTGTTTTACATAATGTTAAACTGAATATTTGAAAATCTCACCTTGGGCTTTGGGAAACTCATTCACATTTCATAGACAGTTTGGACTTTGATCATGACTGCAATTAAAGATTATATTCATCACTAATTAATCAGTCAGTTGCTTTTCCAATTGTAAATTAATGTTTAGTCTATATCATCTCAGAAAATAATGAAAACACAATTCCCTATACAACAATGTGCCATTTTTTGCTTGTTTTGTGAGTCCAACTGTCCAAAATCCAAAGATAGTGTGAAAACAACAAATCATCATTTTGTTGAGTTGAATTTACATTGAATTCACATGAATCCATCCAAACATTAATAGTTTCAGCACTAATCTGAAGGTGAAAGTATCCAGAAATACTGACCACTTTTAGCCACCCTGCTTCACAATGAAAATAAAACAATTCACACTTTTTCATTTGTTTATACCAATAACCAAATGTTGAATAATGTCCCTTGGGTGTTACTTGGGAGGTTGCATATTGAGTTACACACACTAAAAGAGCTTAAATATGCCTAGTAGGAGCAGTTTATGTTCATCAGTCATTTGAGTGCTTGCATGATGAGAGAGGTTCTGGCACTTACAACTAAAATGCAGTTGCAGCTTTTAAAAAAATATTAGATGTGTCAGTCAGTTAGGGCTAATGTCAACCCAATGTTAATTTATTTGATACGAATTTAAAGATGAGTAATGGGTCTTTTAATGTTTATTAATTTGATAAATATTTGTAAGTTGAGTATATCTCTGGCCTAAGAGGAACTAATTGCATAGCATGCTGCTACGTTATCATCTCTGATGCAGCTCTTGGCAGAACACCTTGTGTTTGTGCAGCTCTACAGTTCGGTATGAATGATAAGTACTTTGGGTCAGGGACCAAAACTTTGCACTTTTAGTTTAATTTGTCAGTTATTCTTCCTTTTTTTTGGTTTGTACCATCTGCTTGTCTGCTCGCGCAATCTGCAGACAGCGGTGAGGGCGGAGCTGTCTGTGGTGCTGAACGAGGGTTTTTTTTTGGTTGCGCTGCTTTTTTCTGAGCAGCGAGTAAAACAAAAGGGCTCGACCTTGCAGCTGCGTGAACCTACACAGGATGCAATTTGAATTTCGCAACCCTGAAATTATTTATAGATACGTTTTAACTGGACTCCCATTTTCTATCTTTCAGAGAGGGAGAGTGTCTGTCTGTCTATAGATAATGAAACAAACACAATCCGGCTATGTATAAATATTTAAGGTAACGCTGTTATTGGCTGAGGGAATCGGAGGGGGAGAGGGGGGGTTCTGAAGGTAAATTGCTGTGAAAAGACAGAGGCACAGAGCATAAGTAATCACTGAGGACAGACCTGTGTTCCTCTGTCAAGAAAACAAGGATCCATGACTCCCCGAAGGAACCTGCCCATGTGTTTTATTGGTCTCATTTGTTGCCTTACATCTCTGTCTCCCTCAGACTACTCTTGCTCATGCTTCCTGTTCTGCCCTCGGCCTCACCCTATCCCTCAACATCTCTTTCTCCATCTCCATTCGCCCTCCCCTTTCCCTCCCTTCCATCACCTTCCCTTCCCTCGCACATGAACTCGCACAAGACAATATCTAACCCCACCTCGCCATCACTCTCTCTCTCGCTCTCTCTCTCGCTCTCTCACACACATCATATTTCTTCCTGTGTCTCTGTGCGCCAAGGAAGCTCATTATGAGACATTTAAGTGCCAAGCATCACCTGTGAGGCCTTTTCTGTTCGACACCTGTGCCGCCAACGAAAGCTCCGCGAGTCTAACGTCTCCCCTCCTTTCATTAGCAAGGGATGAATAACGGCAGAGCAATAGAAGTCGAGGCTTTGAATAAATCAAGGCTATAAACTGAGCCATATGGCAACATATTGCAGGGGAATCACTGGGATGTGAAAGCACTTCTGTGAAAATCAACAGGACGCAAAAACATAAGCAGAGAGTGAGTCTTGTAAGAATGCAAGGAACAGGAGGACACCCAATGAACTACTAGAGCAGCAACACAACTTGCTGGTCCTGCAGAAGCCACAACAAATTGGACTGTAATCTTTCTGTCTATTTCGCTCTCTGTTTCTACCTGAAAGAGACAGTCTGAGGAGGGAAAACCAGCTAATAGCCCAAGGCTTCAGAAGAAAGCTAACAGGCAACAGGGGTCACCGCAAGGTGAGAGAGAGGGAGAGACGGATAGATTGTGCCACATGAGACAAAAACCCTCTTTGTATTAGTGTGGGCAGTGTTGGAAGACTGACAGAAGGGCAGGTTCCCGAAAATCTATTTCCTCTGCAAGACGCTGTTCTCGTTAGCCATAACTCTTTGCTATTGGAATAATGACAATTCAATCACTCAGCTTTCAATAGCTCATTTTGCACAGGCTTTTCTTTAAAAT